AAAAAACAAGAGAGAAAAAGAGAGAGAGAGAGAGAGAGAGAGAGAGAGAGAGAGAGAGAGAAATAACAAGAGACAGAAATGAAATGATTTCCCTTTATTGATTTTGTCGATAAGGTTTTCCGAAAAGATTTCCGAAAAATAAAAGACTGATGCTGATGATGAAGATAAATGATTTTTTTTTTTGTAATTAATTAAGATTTCATAATCACCAATTTTTTTTATAAAAAAAATTTAAATTAATTAATTAATCAAAATGAATAATGAATATTATAATTAGGTTAAGGACAACAGCAACTAAAATATAAATATGTTTCCTCCTTCTCCCCCTCTTCATCCCCTTCTGATCCTCCTTCTCCTTCTCCTCTTGTAAACATCATTTATCAAATTTTGTTTGATTACATCATCATTACCATTATCCTTGATTAATTACCGTTATTATTGTTATTAATTATCACTGTTTTTTTTTCTCTCTCTCTGTTTGTTTTTGTAAAAATCAACAATTTTAGGTGAATCAAGTACACCAAGAAGATTACGTACAGCCTATACAAATACACAATTATTGGAATTGGAAAAAGAATTTCATTATAATAAATATTTATGTCGACCACGTAGGATTGAAATAGCTGCATCATTAGATTTAACTGAACGACAAGTAAAAGTTTGGTTTCAAAATCGAAGGTAAATATATCCTGGATTTTCTTCTCTAAAATTTTTGATTAAAGTTTTGTTTTTTCGGTTAAACAGAATGAAATATAAACGACAAAATAATAGTAAAACTGGTTCGGATGAAAAAAGTTCATCAAAAACATCATCTTCATCTTGTAATGATGGTATTGGATCCGATGATGATAACGACGATGACGACGACGATGATGATGACGATATTGATGGCGAAGATGCAGATGATAATGTCGTTGGCGATGATAATTTCGATCCAGAATTATCAATGAAATTCAATTCCAATGAACCGAAATTACCATTTGATGATCCAATCACCACCACCTCCGCCGCTATTTCCANAATCCTACGATTCCAATGACCACAAATGCATCAAACAACAATCTAATCATATCATCATCGACAACGAAACCGATTACTTCAACCATTCGATCAACGCCAAAAAAACGTACCCGTGCGACAAAACGTACCGGGAAAAAACAACAACAAACAATCAGCAATAATAATCATTGTGCTAATATTGATTGTGGAATATTGAATTCGGGTTGTTCATCAAGAATAACAAAAAAGAATCAAACAACAACAACAACAAAAACGACAACAACAATAGATTGTTGTCCAAAACTACCGACAACAACAACAAAATCATCATTAACAACAACAACAACAAATAATTCTTTGACATCCACGACAAGCACTACGAATACCACCAGTGGATATTTATTACAATCAGCACTTTCGGGTGATCGATCACCGATATCACCACCGGTAACAACAACATTATTGAATGGCAAATTAAATCGTTATCATCATCAACCAACATTACCACCAATGCAACAACAACAACAACAACATTTGATGGATAATCATCAAAAGAATCCATTATCATTACGTAATAATTGTCAATTATCATCACCATCGATGATGGTAAATCCAAAGACATTATCATCTGAATGTTCCACATATCCATCAATGGCCACAAATTCAATGATAATGAAAACAAATGATTATCAATATCGTTATTATAATGATGATTGTAATTTGGAAAATCAATTACCGCAGCATCAACAACAACAACAACAACAGATCAAACGACAAATGATTTATCAACAAACATTAATTTCATCAGCTGCATATCATCTTCAACCCCCGCCACTACCACCATCTGCACCGCCACCAATAGCATCACAAATCAATCAAAATGGTCATCATCATCCGTCGGAACAGCAATTATATTTTGAATCTGATTTACAATTTCAGAATAATGAACAACAACAATCATCGATAATAAAATCTGAATGTTTTTCGCCATCATGTGAATCAACCAAATCAATTTCATATGATGATTCTTGTTCAACAACAGCAACTGCAGCAACATTCAACAATCCAAATCAAAATATCGATAATGATTATAGCGCATCATCAACAACAAATTCTCATCATACAAACAACTGTGATCAATTATTATCCTATCCAGTGGTAGCTGCTGGTGGCGCCACCACCGTAACATCTAAATTATCATCATCAACATTATCACCTTGTCCAAATCAATATGATGATTCTTCATATGTAAATCCTATCCATAATCATGCTAATCATCATTTATCATCATCAAATTATCAAAATTCTGATCTAAATCATCAACAGAATAATGGTGGTGGTAGTTGTTCATTATATGATCAATATAATTACCAGAATTATAACAATTCTGATTCCATAAAATATCCAAATAATATTATAATGAATCAATATAATCAATATTATTCTGATCAGCATCATCGTATTCCATCAGAATATTCTGCAACATCATTAAAACAACAACAAGAATCCAATAGTAATTCAATGACGACAACAACAAATCAATATCATCATCAACAACATCATGGTTATCATGAAAATTCTTCTTCGTATTATCCGGATTCAACCAATGCATCATCGATAGGTTTAGCATCATCACCAAATAGTATTCAAACATCCGCATCATCGTCTGCATCATCCGCATCATCATTTTTACAGCAAAATAATCAAATTATAGGATCACAATATGAACAACAATATGGCCATCATCTTCAACAACAACAGCAACAACAATATTGTGATCAATCATCCTATACAATCAATCATCATCATCAACAACAGCCGCATCAATATAATTCAACAGCAGCAACAACAATGTTCACCGCAGCATCACAGAATAATAATATGACAATAACAAATCAATTGATGGCACAACAACAACAACAAAACGGTGGTGTTAACCCTTACAATCATCATCATCATCATCAACAACATAATCAACATTTAACAAATGAATTGATTGGTCTCAATTATCATCAATTAGAATGAAGATTTCTTTTTTTTTTGTAGAAATCAAATGGAAAATTAGTTAATTCTTTTTTTTTAAAAAAAAACTTGTTTAGCTTATGTAAATAAATATTTAAGAAAAAAAAACATTAATTATAAAGATCATTATAATAAATAATATTACAATATTTCTCAAAATTTACAAATTTTCATTTACATTTACATTTACATTGTCAATATCATAATATAAAATTCTTGAAACTAACTCAGTAATAATAATGTCATATTTATAGAGTTTTAGAGGACACTTAATTGTGTGTTTGTGTTTGTGTGTGTGTAATTTTTGATTTTTTGATTTTGATTTTTGAAAATAAAATTTGAATAAATTCAAAATTTAAAAAAAAAAACATTTCGTTGATTTCATTTGATTTCATTTTGGATTCTTTATAAAATTCTTGACATTCAAAAAATTTATAAAACTCACGGTGCCATCTATTGCTTGAAAGTAAAAAACAAACATCAAAAATTTTACTTTCACCATCAACAGATGGCAATCTTAGTTTCATATTGAAAAAAAATTCTGGTCAAATTCCAATTCCAATTCCAATGATTAATCCATAATCGATTCAATGATCAATCCATGATAATCATGTGTATCATCATCATCAACATTTGAATCGAAAAATTCAATAGAAAATTGGAACCAAAAAAACAACAAGAATTTTCCATTTTTTCATCAACAAAACCAATGATGATGGCTGAATGCTTTTTTTCTGGATTTAACATTTTGGCATTTTGGCCATTTTCTCTATCTCTCCAATGTTTTTCTCTACAATTTTTTTTTGTTTTGTTTGCCGTCATCATCGCCATCACCAATTGCCATCACCATT